TAGAAATGGAGTTAAAGAAGGCAAAGTTAAGGAAACTAGGACAGAACAGGGTATTTTGTAGGAAAGGGTTGGTAGGTCTAGAATTGAATGGACGTATCGATATATTGAACAGCGACTATCGATAGTCTCGAAAAATCCGTGTAAAATACACACTAAATACTATAAGCTGTTATGAGGGATCTTATAGAAATGCACACACACATACAAAAAATCGCTCCATAGCCATAAAAATCCCCATTTAAACACGGCAAAACCTCACTAGCGATCGATTTTTTTCGAGATTTTTACATTGATGGAATGGCAAGAGTGATAGGTAAGTTATCCCCAGTTGATCACTGGGAGAACAAAAAACAATTACCGTGCGCTACAGCGTTGTCAAGTTGATAATGTGAAAACTCCGTAGCTGGAACAAAAATTGAGTCACCAAGTCGGCAAGTCGCGGTTTGGACGAAAAATTTCCAAAAAATGTACAGAAACCTTAAAGGTTTGTTCACATTTCTGATGTTCCTTTAATTGAATCAGTGAGTTCGAAAACACACCAACTCAGGGACAAAATTGTTCAGGAAACACCTAAAACTGCGCAGCGGGCGAAAAAGTTAGTTTAAGAAAAACCTTTCTGGTGCCTAAGGACAAGTACTTAAAGACTTTGTAAAGCACTAAGTTGAAATCGATACACCATGTTTGATGATAGAGAATTAAGCGTTTAAAAATTTCCGAGTTGGTGTGTTTTCGTTCTCACCGACTTTCAGATACTAATTTTTCATAGTCTGCCCTGAAACAGTTATATTTTTCGACCTGAATAACGCTTGAATATTTATAAAACTTGTTGGTACAAGGTATGCTGAACCGAAAAAAGAAAACCGCAAAATCGGATGGTCACCCGTCTCCCTTGAAAAAGGGCCAAAAATTGGTATTTCCAATGAGAGACTTCGATTTTTCCCTTTTCCCGTCGCTGTTTCGGGCACTTCCGATTGCAATTTTGATTTTTCCTTTTACGTGCAGACGCTTCTATCCATAAGTGTTACTAAACCGTAAAAAAAGTGAAAATAAAAAAAACCCGAATTGGTGTGTTTTCGAACTCACTGATTCAATTTCAACCTGTAGATTACCATTCTCATGATATTGAATGCAGTGTATTTTTACAAATCCGCAAAAATATCTCAATAGGGTTCTATTCTAATGAGAATAAAATTTATTTGATCGACATTTCGTTTAATTGCGCATCTATCGATATATTTTAACTCAAATTGAGAAGATTTGCGAGCGAGTTATGACCAGTTTTGTGACGGCTTTTCGGAGCGACGAAGCACGTACAGTCAAGGCAAATAGGAAGTTTAGTCAGAAAAAATTCTGGTTAACAAAAATTGTTACGTTTCCCACGTGGTTTATAATGCTGAATTTGTGGTTCAACCAAAGACATAAAGACGGAGGGCTAAAAGCAAAAAATGAAGCTTCTTTTCAACCACCTCTACGATTGGCTAGAGGATTGGCGGCGAAATCGGGACAAGTTTGAAATTCAAATGTAGGGCGGGAATCAAATAAAATTGCGGAAACGAAGTATTTTAGGTTGATTTTTGCCCAAATTCAGGTACAAACTCATATTTTTTTAACTCTAGGTTAGTTTCCGTCCGTCGTCGACCGATTAATTTCATTTGGGAGTAACGTTGATCTAGAACTGTAACGGCCTGTTTAAACCTGCAGAACCACCATGAGCAGAAGAAAAACTAACTTTATCTGAGATTACTGCCTGTTACCAAGCAAAAGTAGGTGTATTATGTTAGGACGCAGACCGAACTTTCTTAGTATATTCGTTTTAGGAATTTAAAATACGTTTCGAAGAAGAAATGTGCAAAAATCAAGAGGACAAGTTCAAATCAAATTTTCGTTTGCCGCCATGGATTCCCGCGCTCATTTACACACTCACACAAGCGCGCAGCGCCGAACCTAGCTTCACTTTTTCCCCGTGCTTTTAGATACGAGCGCTCCGTCTTTATGTCTTTGGGTTCAACATTGTGACAAAAGACTCGTGCCCGAAAGTAGCCAGATGCGGCAAGAATGGCTTATAACCTACTTTTACCGTGGATTAGGGCCTGTAACTTGCCATGGCTTCCGACGGCAAAATCGGTCTTTTTAAAAGCTAAAGTTCGTTTGATCTCCTATGAAATTGTATCAATGCTTTCTCATGGCAAAATTAAACTTGCTGAGGGGTGGCAAGCTGAAAAAAGCGCGGCCGAAATCGGCAATTTCTTCTGTGTTTTGCCAATGCTGCCATTTTTCCGACTTAAGTATCTGAATAAACGCACCCTAGGTATCCTTATGACACACACCTTAGTAACCAAAATATGATATTTAAAAGTTACCCATCGAGATTGGTTAGCAGACGTTTAGTCCATTTCATATACAAATATTAGACAGATGACCGTCTCTGTTTTTGTAATTTAATCAAAAAAATTTCGGGAAAAAATTTTCCCGACGGAAACATTCGTCGGGAATTACAAATTCCTCGTGTGATTTGGGATTTGGGGGCGCTGTGTCGGCAACATTCCGGGCCCGCTGGACGATTCTTTTCAAACATTTGTCTTTCGGGATTTCACTCAGCATACCGGGAGTCAGATCTGTAGACGCTGTAGCAACCACACAGTGCGTCAGTCATGGCATCCCATTCCACTGCGCGCTCTTTCAATCTTGCTATGAACTGCCTTGCTCGGATTTTGGCTGGTTCCGGAGGATGGTTGTGAGTGCCAACAGTGTTTATGAACTTTTCACCTTTTGTGTGAAGCCTTCCTCGGCAATGGATTGGCCTGTAGTTTACACATCGCCGAATGTCTACATTCGGCTTTTCTCTCGAATAAAGAAACCCCTCATACACAGCTTGCTTGTTTCGGGTTTCCCTTAGAACTTGAAACAAACTGCATTTTGTAAAAATCAAATGATGAAGTTCATCACCACTTAGAAAACACGAAATTTATCAACGCTTAAAAAAACACGTAGGTAATTGTCGATGCATAAAACACCACTTACCACCACCAATACCAATGAACTGGTAATGGTAAAATTTTTTACGGAATTCTCCTTATTTAAAGGCCCCAGCGCTGCTTGAATAAAGAGTGGAGGGAGTGGATGCACCCTCAATGTTTTCATTACGCGTTACTCTCTCACTAAAAAAAAAAAAAAAAAAAAAAAAAAAAAAAAACAGAGACGGTCATACGTTGCGTGGCCAAATGGGCCCGCGGTCATCTGTCCGCGGTCAAGTGCCGTGGAACCAACCGACCTTGAAGACGCAAGCTGGATCCGAGCTTCCTTTTTCAATTTCACTGCCTAGGTCCTTTAATAATTATCCAAAGCTTGGTTACAGCTTGTAGCAAGGTTGCTGTGACCTTCCCACAAGCATGCTAAAGCATTGCCATGACCTTGAGGAGGCAGGCTTGATTCAAGTTTGCTTTTTCAATTTCCTTCCCTAGATCCTTAGGTGCTTGTCGAAAGCTTGCTTAATGCTTGTGGCAAGATGGCCTTGATCTTCCCACAAGCATGCTAAGGCATTGACATAGCGGAGCGCATCCACTCCGAAGCATCTCCGGCGGGGTTCCGCTGCTTTTTTTAGCACTGAACTTACATTTTTATCATCTGAGTACATTAACTCTTGAGTTACATCGTATCTTATTTCAGGCTTTTTGTGATAAATGAATCTTAATGAAAGAGGGCCAAGAAATCGGAGAAGTGTGTCTCAAATGAGAAAATCCGGGAAAGTAGAGGATTTTCCGGTCTGTAGTTTTGCAATATGCTTGGGACACATCAGCACTGTGCATAAATGGTATCAGAAGTTTTAAAAAAAAGCGAAAAGAGTTGCAAAAATTTGCCTGAAATTGGACTTGAAGAGAGGGCGAGGATCAACGCACCCTAGTGGCCGATCTGCACACAACATTTTACGCCAGTCCACGGTTGATGCATGATTAGTACGTCAAGATTGGTTAGTCAACCTATCCTCAACCTTGCCACAAGTTGAAAGAAGGAGCTCATCCTGTCCTTGAAACTGCAAGGTTGGTGCAAGTCTGTTTCAAGATTGGTTTTACAACCTATACAACGTATATTATCGAATGTTGTACGATGATTTGTTGCCAAGCTACACGCAAAAAACTAAGGGATTTTGTCTCGTGCTAGAGCGGCAGTTTCTTACAACTTAACGCGTGGCCGCTTGTTAAAAATTGAAATTTCTCCAAAATCATATTTTTAACCTAAATTCATGTAACTGGGAGCATCTACTTGTTTAATAGAGGAATGAGAGCACCTTCTCTTCTTCCACTCCTATTCCTTGTTGCCACATTGTCTACTTATAAAAATTTGATCTCTTCCTGTAGGTGTATACCCTAGTATCAATAAGGGTTGATGGATACAAGAAAGAGGTCAGAAGAGGTTAAAGCTGATTCTCATGTATTTTTGGTCGCTGAATCCGAATTTGAAGTTTCCCACAAAATCTGCTTGAGCATTTTCTGGAAAAGCCGCAAAACTGCCCAAAATGACCTTTAACGGGCTTTTCTGGGCACAATAAATAGCTTGATAATCGTCGAAACGGAAAATTAGTACAGCGCAAAGTTGATGCCTAGTAAATATCCGATAAAATTCAAGAGATTAATTTTTGAGTTAGGACTTGAATTTAAACCACTAAAGCGCGCGAGAGAGGGAACTCTAGGAACATTGGAAACTGGAATCTAATCGGAAAAGGAGTGGGGCTCATGGTGACAGCAAAAGGAAACTAGGGAGTAGTAAGATCGTGGGAGGGTATATTCAAAAAATTCGAAAAGGTAAACAGAAATAAAATGCTGAACCCGCATTACTGCTGAAGTTATATCCTTGGATGATGTCAGCGCATCTATAATAATCAACTTGTCAGGAACGGAAATGTTAATAAAAACTTTATCCTCTATCCTAGGCGTGTTCCAGGTTGTAAATAATAAATAGAGGTGAGAGAAAAGTAAAATTGTTGAAATCACATCAAAACAGTATTGTTTCTTCAGTATTGGAAATGTATATTTTCAGATCAATATTAAATATAAAAATTTCCTTTTTACACCACTGAGGATTCTGCCAGTTAAGTTTCCGCTCCGTACTTATGTCATAGGAAAGGCCTACCGACAGACTTGGTTTTAGGTGTTTTTATTTTTATCAAAACTCCATGCTGATTGGTCTTTGTGATCCTGAAATGAAAGAAAGAATGACAAATTTAGTTATTGTAAAATGTTTGGAGAGATCTTGAAAAACTCTTGGCGAGGTGGATTACTCTTCTTTGACCAAAATAATCGAAGGTAAAGAATCATGTGTAATTTATTTCTGAAAGGTTGAAATAGACATCGGACTAAAAAAATGCACCCACATGATATTATCTGAGCGATGACCTCGTTCTCCATTCTTTCATTCAACTGACACAACATGAAAGTCAATGTTTTTTCGTAAAATAATTTTAAGAATACATCGTGTACTGTTATTTCAGGATAGAGAGGTTAATGAAAAGTATTATCCCGTAAAGTACGCAGCAAAAACCTATGTTGACTTTAAACATTCAAAACCCTTGAAGTTTTTCATTGGAGCTGTGATGGGGAGAAAGAACGGTGCACTGTTGGGCTTGTGTACGTTTAGAGACTGACGTCAGAGCTTTCGAGTTTCATTGACTGCAGTAGCATCTACGCGGCTTGGCCTCTGATCTCGAATACTCTGACGTCCATCTCCAAACGTACACAAGCCCAACAGTGCACCGTTCTTTCTTCCCATCACAGAGCTACTACTGGGAATTATCTATGATTTTGAATGAAAAAAAACCCGCCTTATCTCCCAAACTTTTGTTCCATGCTATTTCTACGAAAAAAAAAAAAAAAAAAAAAAAAAAAAAAAAAAAAAAAAAACCTATTCCAAGTAACAGAGCTTAAGACGTTTTACATCATCAAAAGAATGCTTGCTCGGACATGAGCTTAAAGGTACTCTGTCGTCAAAGACGCAAAGACAGAGCACACGTATCTAAAAGCACAGGAGACAAGTGAAGCCAACCTGTAAGCTGGTGAATTTGTGTGACTTGGAGCGCAAGAATCCATGCGCTGCAAATAGTCAGGAGGTATACGTATTCCCGTGTGCAGATTCGGGAAGGCATATTGTGTGATACATCAATCACTTCGTTTTGATGTCTAGAAAAAGAAAATCGATGATGGCCATCTCAAATTTCATACAAACCCCCCCAAATTCAAGATGGCGGCCAAAATGCCGGTTTTGGGGTAACAAAATTTGAAGTTTTCTAATACGTCGTGTCGGGTGTCGATTCTTATGTATTTTTTATCGTAGAATCCGAATTTTCAGTCAAAAGTTAGCCTAAAGATTATTTTTAGGCCAAAATCCAAGATGGCGTCCAAAAATACCTCTTACGGGTACTAATTTGCCTATTCGGGTCTACATGCATTGTGAGGTATCAATTTTTAGGTTTTCAGGGTCGTAGAGTTCGGAAATAAGGTCCATTTTCCGCTGCGACTCTCAAAAAGCCCTAAAATCAAAGATGGCGCCCAAAATGGCCGCCGGTCTTACGGATGAAACTGCCATTTAGGGCAGTTGTAACAAGCAATACGTTCAAAATTAAGTTTCTTGGGTCAAGAAGTTCGAATAGGAGATCAGATGTTTACTCCTACAAAAAATTAAGCCTCCGAATCGAAAATGGCTGCCGACATTGTTGCCAGTTAGAGGCGCAGACCGGTCAATGACTGATATTGAGGGATTTGCCAAAGGAGGGGTTTCGATAAGGGCCGTTGTTGGGCCCATACCTGAAATTCTTCAATTCTACGATTGTTTGCTCATTTAAAGTCTAAAGTTTGCGGAATGGATCATGATTTGGTCATTTTCGGTCTATTTAGGGGTCTATTACTGGCCGAAACATGAGACTAAAGGCCGATTTTGGCGAAAAATGCGGGGTTTTTGGCTTTCGACGCGCTGTTCCATAACGATCCCATCATTGGAAGAGCAAACTTTCCTTCAAGTACGTTCACTAAGGATGTAAGATAGTCACTTTGGCCAATTTTCGTTGACGGCAAACCTTGCGCTCAGAGTTAAAACGATATTCTAAGAATTTTCTTGTTTTTCATCATTATTTAAAATGGCATGAAAAGGGCGACTCATCTCAAACCAGAAATACATTCCTTGGCCGAAAATGTACGCAGCTGGTCAAAACCTTCCTCCAAAAAATTTATGGATTAAGGCCTCCCCCCCCCAAAAAAAAAGAAAAACCTGTGTTGCCACATTTTATTGCTTAACATCACAGAAAACCGCGTAATTATTTCAGTATTTGGAGGCTGTTCTTCGTCGAGCACATTCAGCAAAGTTCAAAACCCTCGATTTTTCATACGTTACGATCGCATGATTAGTGATTGTATAAATGCAATTATCCATCATTATTTTGTTTATTACGTGTATGTATCTATAGAGACTCCCATCGTGGCGCGGCGTTCCCGAAGAATCCGAGTTGGCCAAGGATTTCAGCCACTTTCTCAGAATATGCGCATTTTGAAATAAATATGTAAGACTCGAATTACAGTATTCAGTGATGCAAGTAGATTATATTTTGTGTTAGTAATAATTGTTTTAAAATTTTGGCGTAGTAGGTGACCCATTATCTTACGAATTTTGTACCCATCATGGCGCGGCATTCCTACATGTCATCGGTAAAAATCGAGAAAAATGCAACATTGGAATGAAAATGAGAATTATACTATCATCGCGCAGAGAATGTTGAGCTTATCCAAAACTAAAAATTCATTGCAAGAAAAACTGTAATATTGGTTAAAAGGCAAAACGACATAGAACATGGTCATGTCCGGGTGGTATTGCCTGTGCAAAGTGGGCGATAGAGTCGTCGACTGCTGAGCTCATATTGCATCTCTCATTTGTTGCCTCTCTCTGCCGTGATAGCGAAGAGAGCAGTAAAGTGCAAAAATGAAGTTTTGAGAAAACAGGCTCAGAAGCTTCTTACTGGAAAATTTTATTGAAGGAAGCCTCCGTTCTTTTTCATATTACCACTAAAAATGCCCGAAAGACTCCTAGAAATCGAGTTGGATGATTAAAAATCGACTGATTTTATTTCAATTACATAAGAAAGGCATTTTTCATTTTCATGCTAGGTTATTGTTAAGCAAGACAGCCGTAAGTGCTATCTTCTGCATGCTTTCATGGTTGCGCTTTGGATACACAACAAACTCATTCTCTAATTAGAAATTGTCAGAAGACGCTTTACTTGAAAGCACTGTTTTCATTGGCTCTCAGGAGAAACTGTGTCATGCTGTCTTGCCTAAAACTACGTCATTTTTTGCGCACTTACGGCTTTTTCATATGTCTCGTTTGGATATAATTAAGATAAATTTTGCTGTTTTAGCAATTTCAATGATTTCATCTAAATGATTTTCGACGAATTTTGAAGGAAACTCGGTTTCGAAAATTTGACACTAATTGCTCTCTTCACTATCACGGCAGCACTCAATACAGACGTAAGTCTGAGCCAGAAAAGCCAAGCGTTTGCTTGATTAGGTAATATGCCTCATTTCTCCAAAATTATGAAATGGCAGCTTCAAACAAGAGATCTGATGCAAAAGACAGGGAACCTGACGAAGGAGCAACTGATGAGGAAGCGGTGAGGAGGGAGTGAGGGAAACCAATGGTTTCAAATTATTTTTAGGAAGCAGAATTCTGATCGATCGCAGGCAATGAGAATGGCGGGGGCAGGGATTGTCAGGGTGGTGAAAAAGCAGCATTAAGAACTCGTGATTCTGACACATGGCGTATTTTTTTTTCGGATCTCAGATCACGGTCAATGACTCAAAGTTGCGTCTTCGTGGGCAAGTATCGTGTACAAAATTCGTAAGATAATGGGTCACCTACTACGCCAAAATTTTAAAACAATTATTACTAACACAAAATATAATCTACTTGCATCACTGAATACTGTAATTCGAGTCTTACATATTTATTTCAAAATGCGCATATTCTGAGAAAGTGGCTGAAATCCTTGGCCAACTCGGATTCTTCGGGAACGCCGCGCCACGATGGGAGTCTCTATAGATACATACACGTAATAAACAAAATAATGATGGATAATTGCATTTATACAATCACTAATCATGCGATCGTAACGTATGAAAAATCGAGGGTTTTGAACTTTGCTGAATGTGCTCGACGAAGAACAGCCTCCAAATACTGAAATAATTACGCGGTTTTCTGTGATGTTAAGCAATAAAATGTGGCAACACAGGTTTTTCTTTTTTTTTGGGGGGGGGGAGGCCTTAATCCATAAATTTTTTGGAGGAAGGTTTTGACCAGCTGCGTACATTTTCGGCCAAGGAATGTATTTCTGGTTTGAGATGAGTCGCCCTTTTCATGCCATTTTAAATAATGATGAAAAACAAGAAAATTCTTAGAATATCGTTTTAACTCTGAGCGCAAGGTTTGCCGTCAACGAAAATTGGCCAAAGTGACTATCTTACATCCTTAGTGAACGTACTTGAAGGAAAGTTTGCTCTTCCAATGATGGGATCGTTATGGAACAGCGCGTCGAAAGCCAAAAACCCCGCATTTTTCGCCAAAATCGGCCTTTAGTCTCATGTTTCGGCCAGTAATAGACCCCTAAATAGACCGAAAATGACCAAATCATGATCCATTCCGCAAACTTTAGACTTTAAATGAGCAAACAATCGTAGAATTGAAGAATTTCAGGTATGGGCCCAACAACGGCCCTTATCGAAACCCCTCCTTTGGCAAATCCCTCAATATCAGTCATTGACCGGTCTGCGCCTCTAACTGGCAACAATGTCGGCAGCCATTTTCGATTCGGAGGCTTAATTTTTTGTAGGAGTAAACATCTGATCTCCTATTCGAACTTCTTGACCCAAGAAACTTAATTTTGAACGTATTGCTTGTTACAACTGCCCTAAATGGCAGTTTCATCCGTAAGACCGGCGGCCATTTTGGGCGCCATCTTTGATTTTAGGGCTTTTTGAGAGTCGCAGCGGAAAATGGACCTTATTTCTGAACTCTACGACCCTGAAAACCTAAAAATTGATACCTCACAGTGCATGTAGACCCAAATAGGCAAATTAGTACCCGTAAGAGGTATTTTTGGACGCCATCTTGGATTTTGGCCTAAAAATAATCTTTAGGCTAACTTTTGACTGAAAATTCGGATTCTACGATAAAAAATACATAAGAATCGACTCCCGACACGACGTATTAGAAAACTTCAAATTTTGTTACCCCAAAACCGGCATTTTGGCCGCCATCTTGAATTTGGGGGGGTTTGTATGAAATTTGAGATGGCCATCATCGATTTTCTTTTTCTAGACATCAAAACGAAGAGATTGATGTATCACACAATATGCCTTCACGAATCTGCACACGGGACATATGTTTTGTTACGTATGCCCCCTGACTAAAACGTAAATTTGACCTTCCAAAAAAACAACAAAAATGTTTTTGTACAAAATTTCGCCGAATCCAAAAAAAAGGCCCCCCCAAAAAGGATGGCAGTCCCGTTTGGATTCATCATTTAAAAGGCAATGATATCAAAACGGCCCAATGAGTCAATTAAGTCATTTTTTTTTAGTGTATTTTCCGAAGAAAATACACTATTGCATTCTCTCATGATGTCGGACCCAGACCCCAGACCTCGTGAAGAGCACCGATCACGGGTCGTAGATCACGAAAATACATGCCATTCATATATATATATATATATATATATATATATATATATATATATATGTGTGTGTGTGTGTGTGTGTGTGTGTGTGTGTGTGTGTGTGTGTGTGTGCGCGCGCGCGCGCGCGCGCGCAATTGTTTTAAGAAGTTTGAATATTCGGAAGCCGGTTATTACTGCTACGTAGTTAAGTCCACTTGTCGAAGTTTAAAACGGCTTCTGAATATAATGATAAAGTAGTAGTGGTTTTTCTACCTCAGAGAGATGTTGAGAATATAGAGAATTGGTAAGTAATAAATTTCAAATGTTGCAATGAGTATTGCAAGTTGTTCAGCAATTGTTCGCCTTCTCATGCAGACTGTCAGAGTCTCAGATATTCGAATGTGTATGGCGAGATGCTGAACGTGAGGAGAAATGTAAACTACTTCCGAGCTTCAATTTCATCATTAGTAATAACATTGCAAACGCTTGATACTGTCTCTTAAGGACAGTGTTGCGCAAAGTAAGTAGTTATCAACATATTTTGTTTTTATGAGAGCTGTCTCTAAAGCTATGGCATTCTGTATCTTGAGAAATGTGATCAGTTCACTCCTCATTGGAAAAGATAAACAGTAAAAGTTGATGCTTTTGTAAGCAAAAATTACAGTTGCCACAACTGAAATTTCAATCGCAATGGCATAAATTTTCTGAACTGTAATAAAACAGTTTGATACAATTTCATTTTCAAGAGCCTTCATCTGCTACTTCTGGTCATGCACATTCGGTACTTGGTACTGATTGAGTTTAAATGCGCCATCAGGGTACAACGGAGATTTTTTGGTTATACTTTCAATGATGAAGTAAAGCAATCGATATTCTGTCGCATCGATATTCTGAGGGAATTTTTTAGGCAAGGAGTCAAATGAACAACAACTTGGAAGCCACTTGTTATTTATGACTATTCTGCATTGTCTATCTGTTTTGTACTGTACCAATGCTGTAAAAATGAGTTTACAGCGTTTTACAGTAGAGACATCTCCTATAGGGCTGAATATTATATCCTACTATGACACGTTTCTTTTGATTCTATCAAGCTGATGATAGAATGCAAACTAAATTCTGCAGCTCAAGGCAGGTAAGTCAATAATGTGTTCTATCATCTATACTACGAATAGCCAGCCTCTCTGACCTACCTGACCTCATGCGTACAATAAATCCACCGCGTAGACCTCGGGAACAGATAGTTGTAACGACTAATGCTCCAAAGGAGCGTAAATATTTTAATTTTCTTATCCTCTTTTGAATGATGCAATAAAATTAGGGGCTCCCATTCGAAATTTTAGAGGTAAGGAAAAGGGTTCGCTTGGCAGCCCGGGGACTCCACCTCTAACTTTCTGAAGACCTTGTATAAGGGTGTCAAGTTAGTCATCAAAATTAAAAAAGAGCATGTTATGAGGAATACAGAATACATACCCTTATAACTATTCCAGCTGTTAGGAATTCGTCTCTGAATTGATCACAGGCTTGAAGAAGGGATTTAAATGTATTTGTTGCGTCCAAAACCTATGAGTACAGAAAATTGAAAAAACACAAGATTAAGAATAGTGAAAAAAGTACGTATGTGCTTAAAAAAGTAACAGTCCTCATATTTTGAACAGTTAAGCATAAGGCTATGAGTTTAATACAATTGGAAAGCAGACATCTCGGTGCAACACGGTATTAATACAGGGTGTTTCAGACCACCCATACCAGGCCTTTTTCTCGGTTGTTTTAGGTCGTACGAAGTCGGGGACCGCGGGGTTGAATAGGGAAGCGACCCCAAGGAATCCGAATTTCGTGGTCCCGAAACCCCTCCACCCTCCCTTGGGGGGTTAAGGGGGGGTCACGATGCTAAAAGTCACGGTTCCCGACCGAATTGCGGATTAATCGCATCAGAATTGAAAAGCACGGAAAATTTCACGTGAAATTGACCCCTAAAAATCCATAATTGGCCCATCCAAGGCCCAAAAATGAGCCCCTAAAGAGGGGAATAGTACCCCCTCCATAATTTCTCTTTGGTCTCAAAATTGACGTAGATTCTCCAGAAAAAGATGGTTTCCCGGGAAATTTCGACCCCGAGAAATCCAAATTTCATGGTCCCGAAGCTCCTCTAGCTCCCCTTGGGGGGTAAACGGGGGACCCAATTTTAAAAATCGGGGCTCCTTTCCGAATCGGAAATTGATTGCATCCAAATTGAGGAGCAGAACACTTTTACATCTTAAGTGACCCCCAAGAGTTTCAATTGACCCCTCTGAACGGCAGAAAGTAACCCATGAGGAGGGGGGCTCCGCTCCCGCCAAAAATTTCTCAAGATTCCTCTTTCGTCGCAAAATTGACGTCGATTCTCCAAAAAAAGGCGGTTTCTGCCCAAAAGGGCGGGTAGCGGAGCTTAGGGACCATGAAATTCAGAGTCCTCAGGGTCGACTACCTGGAAAACCGTCTTTTTCTGGAGCATCGACGTCAATTTTGCGACCAAAGAGGAATCTTGAGAAATTTTTGGCGGGTGCGGAGCCCCCCTCCTCATGGGTTACTTTCTGCCGTTCAGAGGGGTCAATTGAAACTCTTGGGGGTCACTTAAGATGTAAAAGTGTTCTGCTCCTCAATTTGGATGCAATCAATTTCCGATTCGGAAAGGAGCCCCGATTTTTAAAATTGGGTCCCCCGTTTATCCCCCAAGGGAAGCTAGAGGAGCTTCGGGACCATGAAATTTGGATTTCTCGGGGTCGAAATTTCCTGGGAAACCATCTTTTTCTGGAGAATCTACGTCAATTTTGAGACCAAAGAGAAATTATGGAGGGGGTACTATTCCCCTCTTTAGGGGCTCATTTTTGGGCCTTGGATGGGCCAATTATGGATTTTTAGGGGTCAATTTCACGTGAAATTTTCCGTGCTTTTCAATTCTGATGCGATTAATCCGCAATTCGGTCGGGAACCGTGACTTTTAGCATCGTGACCCCCCCTTTACCCCCCAAGGGAGGGTGGAGGGGTTTCGGGACCACGAAATTCGGATTCCTTGGGGTCGTTTCCCTATTCAACCCCGCGGTCCCCGACTTCGTACGACCTAAAACAACCGAGAAAAAGGCCTGGTACGGGTGGTCTGAAACACCCTGTATACACGAAAAAAACACCGAGAAACGTGGCCCGCACTCCATGTAACGAGGGGGTACAATAAAGCTGAGTCCTCATTATTTTGCGAGGAAAACAAAGCTAACAATTTCACTTACGAGTAGAAAATTGTTAACTCTCAAGAGAAATCATCAAGAGGCAAAAGAATCATGATAATAATTTTTTTCGGGGTTCCCTTTCGTCTTGGGAGTTATTCAGCAGCGACGGTAGATGGCGCAAGGATCACACTTTTGTGTCATGCCTTGCGTCCTATTCATGACGGCGGCGTTTCGAAACCGTCTTGGATTTTGCGGTATGCTGAGCTGCGCTCGCTGACGAGTGTAATCTACTGATGAGGTCTAAGAAACCACGAAACGTTATAGATCACTCGGCATGACCTCAAGTTAATATTCATATGCATCTACCTGAGCTGAACACTCTCCCTCTCCGTCTGGTACTGATATTCATTAGAGCTGAGAATGTGTAACTTAAATTGAAGTGTTTCTACTGCTTGGCCTTATTTCAGATTTTGCACGTCAGCAGTCTGTAGTTTTCGGGTGATTTTCAAATGATTAACTTTGCATGCGTCTACCTGCCTCCCAGGACTCGATACTTTTAGTTCCTATTCTAGGTGGCGGTAGCCACCCCGGCCCAATCCTAAAAAACTCCCCCTAAAAATTTGACGACCTAGAAAAAAAAAAAAAAAAAAAAAACCGGGTGGCTGCTGCCTAACTAGTTATACACGAAGAAACTCGATCGGGCTTTTCTGCACGGTTTGCGGTCAATTTAGCTCTCCTGCTAATTAAGACGTAGGTTAAAGCCCAAAAACCCTATAATATTTGGGTAGAATATGCTCAGCTCTACTTGTAATGCTCTCCTTTTTTAAAGTTAGTTGAATATTAAAAAAGTTATTAAGCTTTCACGACAAATTTTGGATCCCAAAACATGACGATGATGAAAATGTTGAGCAGATACGGGGCCCGCGAAACGCTCGACCACCCGGGAGATGGTTGCGTTTAGTCCTATGACCTACAGGTATAACCGTAGAAAAAAACCCTATAAAACTATAGATATTCTGAGTCAGCGTTTAATCATCTACAATTTCATTTTTTTAAATTTGATATTGTGGAGATATAACCTAGAGTGACATATAATTAGGTCATTTATTGATGTTTTGACAGTCGATCTTTCGTCACGGCTGTGGAGGTAAGGGCAGCATAAAACCCATTAAACTAGGGATAATTTAAATCTGTGAACTCCAAGGATCGTACTTCCGAAAAGTTTGCAGAGTTATAATGTCGTAGAAAAGAGAATTAATCGAAAGAAGTAGGGTCCTTCAATTCTTCAAAAAGATTTGAATTTGAAAACAACTCGTAGAGCCGTGCGGTGGATGGTGAGCGCCGACTGCAGAAACCAAATTAAGGTTATGTTTATGTTATTATGGTTTGAAATATTTAAATAATAAGAATAAGATAGATTAATCGATGCATTTTTCTATTTTATGATAGCCGAAGGTAACTGGATCCATTTCTATACCTATAATCCTTTTATGATTTCCGCACCAATGATAAATTTAGTTGTCACAGTAAGTACTCGGATCAACCTGGTATTCCTTCCCAGCGGCCCTGATCTAGTGACCTTTTCAAGTATTGTTCATGAATGATTGATGATATCCCACGATAGTGAGTCCTCGATACTATTTCTCATTAATCAGATTCAGCAACTATCCACCAGAAAATTATCCTTTCCCTCAATGTGATGATGTGGGTCGGGGATCTCAATCTGTGGGGAATGAAGCTGCGTTTCCACTTTCTACTAAAATTTTGCTAGCAGCCTACCTGCTCTGGCGTTGATGGATCTTTTCTCCGTGTATCATGCTACTGGTACATAAAGCCTCAATGTTTTCATAGACTTGTAATGCTTTATATTGGAAAACTGGTTCACGCATTCACCAGTCGGTTGAGATTTAGTGTCTACTGAAAGAAATTACGCTTCACTCTGATAAGGCCTTTTGTTGCATTAGTATTATGAAATCAACTCAATGACACAATATCAAAGATACTTGACTTCAAGCATTACCTTTAATTTGATTATCGTCAAGTCTCTTTGATACTGGGTCAGAAGTTGATTGAATCATCAAATTCGCCTGTTGTTGGATAAAGTTCTTCAAATCAAGATCTTTCATATTGACCTCTGCAGAAGGTATGTATCTATAGGTACTACTATTTCATTGGTTTGATAAAATTGAGATGCTAACTTATGCAGATGCAACTAACTTGATGACAACCTCTCTATTCATTGGCTAAAATTTGCAGTACCTTGAGACGCAAACTTTCCGTCACAGCTTACCACAAAAAGGAGATAGAACAATAAAGAGCTGCTGTTCAATATGAAGTATCAGTAACTTTTGACCTCTTGATTTTCTAGGTCCTCACATAAAAAGTTTACTCGCTATGAGAGTGCGACAAAAAATCAGTTGTTTCATTTAGCACTGAAAATTAATATGAATACAATAATTAATTCTTTGTCCCACCCTGAAAGTGCGTTTAAACTCATTTGATGTGGACTTAGGATGACCAGAACTGGCATATTAATGAAGGCTATCAATTAAGACTGAGGCGACTAAAAATATTAGTTGTGACTAATATTTTTGGCTGCAACAGCATCAACATCCACAGAGCATCTTCTTTAACGAAAAGTGGGCTGCTCACATCCCTCGAGATAATGAATGCCAGAGACATCTCTCATAAAACAGAAAATATTGACACCTACTTACTTTGCCTGCCACTGTATTGATGTGAGAGTTACCTTAATGAACAAGTACAAATTACCAACTTTAAGGTAATTAGGAAAGGATCCAGCACGAAAATTGCCACGTGAGAAGTAGTTAGTAACAAAGTAAACAATCAGTATTCAATCCCGAGTATTCAACAGTGAGGTTAGAATCCCACCATCACCCGATGACGACCAGCGGAGGTCGACAACGACTGATGTCATCACTCAGCATCAAGCCATATTACCGCATGCCGCGTGCGGTAGTTTTCGAAGTACCGGACGAGCGACGCTCCGCCCATTTTGATCGACATCACCCGACATCGCGCAAACAAAACACGAGTGATAACATCAAATCGCCTCTGATGCTGAAACAAAACAGCACTGATTTTAATATTGACCTGCGGTTTTTTTTCTGTGATGTACAGGGTGTGCCAAAAATATGGATCCTTCTTATTGATGTCTCGAAAACGATTACATATAATTGACTTGCGGTTTGAACAAACCTTCCTTCAAAAAAGGTGGGCCGGGGGGGGGGGGGGGGGTTCGTTACCTCTTTGCCTCGAGCCCAGGAATAAATTTGAAATTTAAAATGGGAACTCTCTTTGCCTGATGTTTCGTAGAAGCCATACCAAAAATACGTGATA